TCCTGCTGGGTCATGAGATGCAGAACTTCCTGAAGTCATCTCGGAAGAAGCACAAACCACCTCCAGACCCACATCCACCTTCTGAGAATTTTGGTGCTGACACCTCCCTTTTTTCAGAGGGCCATGGGAGTGAGTATGAGATTTCTGGTATGGAGGCACCTCCAGAATCTGGTTCCTCTTCTGGTGGGGAGTTGGAGGCTGGAGAGCTAGTGATAGACGACTCCTACCGGGAAATCAAGAAGAAGAAGAAGTCAAAAAAAAGTAAGAAAAAAAAAGACAAGGAGAAACACAGAGAGAAGAAGCACTCAAAGTCTAAAAAGAGTTCTGGGCATGCTCCTGTGGCAGTAGCAGAAGTAACAGTGTCACCACAACCTCCTCCCAGTACCCCCTATGGTCTTCCTCCACCTCTTCCTGCTGGATTTTATGCAGATGGTCAGGGTGAGAAGAGGAGGAAAAGGGAAGACAAGGAGAAGGACAAAACTGAGAAATGGGACAAGGAAAAGGAAAGAGAAAAGGAAAAGGAAAGAGAAAAGGAACGAGAAAAGGAAAGGGAACGAGAAAAGGAAAAGGAAAGAGAAAAGGAAAAAGAACGGGAAAAGGAAAAGGAACGAGAAAGAGAAAAAGAAAAGGAACGAGAAAAAGAGAAGGAAAGAGAAAAGGAAAAGGAAAGAGAAAGAGAAAGAGAAAAAGTAAGGAAAAATTGGAAGCAAAATAAACATTGGGTGATGGGTAATGGTGAATTAGACACTCCATTACAAAGGCATGTTAAATTGAAATAAAAGGGTAACTAATACCAGGATCAATGGTTTCACTGAAGCATGTTTGGAAATATGTGTCAGCCACTGTGATTTCTCTTTGTAGCAAACAGAATATGTATCATTCTAGTTCTCTGGCACCAACAGTCTTTAGCCCATAGACGTTCTTTGAAAACTGTGTACTTAATTTGCTTGCTACAGGTTATGTACCAAGCACAGCTGCATATTTTTCTCAGGTAACCAGTTCTAGCTACTGCCAGGTAGACTTTTGGACTAGTCCATTATCACAGTTCCTGTAAAAAGGAATCTAGCTCTAACCTGAAAAGTGAAGACATTTACCCATTTACTCCAGTATTCAAATTAAATTCTAATTCATATAGACTGCCACATTTGCAGTTTTGCCCTGTATTTATAAATTCAGTTTTCCATGGTTGGTGCATAAAAATAAGAGAAATGGTAGCTACCATATGAGTGAGTTTACAGGTGATATAACTGTGATTGTGTAAATACATATAAATGGGAAAACACAGTTTTTGTATGTTCAGACAGCCAAGAGTTGCTTCATCTCGGGAAATAGGCAGGTGTAGCCCAAATTTGTTGAGCCATTATTCTGTTCTACTAGGTAAGTCTTCTCTGATCGTAGCTCAGCAGCTGCTTATGCCTCTGCTGTCAGTGTACTTAGACTGTCTATTTTCCTGCCAATTTCCTGCCAAGTGTTTGGTAAAGATGTAAGAAATAGAACAAAACATTATGTTGAGGACCGAATTGTTTTGACAGGTCTATGATAGGTACTGTGAATAGTATGACAGATATTTTGTTATTATTATTTTAGGTTTTAAAACAGATACATGAATGGAGTTGTATGTTGATCCTGGATTTAGAATAGCAGGTTGTTGTAATTTACAAATAAAATGCATTTTAGAGTTGTAGCAAGATAAACCTAGTACTAGGACTGGTTCTGACTGGTTTCTGTGCTTTCATAAAACACTACATTCAGCCAGAACATGTAAAACACTGCTTTTTTAGTTTCCTGGTTTAAGCACTGCATCTTTTTCCAAGTCTTCAATACATGCCAAATTCTTATTACGTTTCAGTAGGTCTCATTATAATTGCCAGTCTTTGTTTCCTTTTTGTCTTCTGACTAGCCAAAGAAGAAAAACATGTCTGCCTATCAAGTGTTCTGTAAGGAATATCGTACAACTATTGTGTCTGAGCACCCTGGAATAGGTGAGGGAATCTCCTCTTCTCTTGATTGTGCCCCGGGCAGATTAATTAGCAGAACGTATCATCTCTGTTTCATACCAACCTCTTAATTTTGAGAGCAGGCAAATAATCTGCCAATTTTCTTCAAATAAGAGATGGCATAAAGGATAGGAGTGGATTGTAGTACTTGATTTCATTGCATTTTAACCAAGCTGTGAATCTGGGTAGAGACATTGCAAGCAAGCTCTTCGTTAAAGCGTTATCTTAATTGTGTCGCTTTCCTGTATATACACATATGGCTTTATATTTCCAGTATCAGCTTCCTTTTTTCATTTTGAACAGTAATGGGAATGGATGGGCCAGTACATTTTGTATGTTCTCTCCATGATTTTATTATTTAATTTGTTTTAAACATTTTTCTTCTTTCCTCTGCCAGATTTTGGAGAGCTAAGTAAAAAACTTGCAGAAGTGTGGAAGCAGCTACCTGAGAAGGATAAACTGGTGAGTGTGTGTGAGGTATTTTTGTAAAATTATTTCTGCAAACGCAGTACTGAGGTCAGAACATGCTGGCAGCACTGCCATCATACCTTGAAAAAATGTCCCCAAAGTATGTAAAGATGGAAATTACTGAAACCTTGCCCTTGTGATCATAAAAGCATCCATTTTATTCTCATGGTATTGCTTCACCAGTTAGGTACCTAACATCATTCTGCATCCAGGCCCTGGCATCAGGTAATGGAATTACCTGATGTTATTAATCTCTCTTTTTATACCATGGTAACTGCAGATCTGGAAACAGAAAGCTCAGTATCTCCAACACAAGCAGAATAAAGCAGAGGCCACCACTGTGAAGAGGAAGGCATCATCTTCAGATGGTGCACCAAAAATAAAAGGTAATTGTTACACTTTATTGGCCCTGGTTTTCTTTCATGGACATGGAAGATAGTGTTACCTGTGGAATAAGGAGCTTCACTCCCCTACCTGCATATTCACTTCTTGATATTTAACTCATTGTATTACTCAAAAACAATGTTTCTGTGAGAGTGACATCAGCATTTTTTAAAAAGATTTCTTTGTCTAATTTGAGAAGGGCATGGTTTGTAGCAGTTTTGGGGCTGAAATGTAAAATAAGAACAGGCAGCATTGAAGTTCTAGTGGAATTAGTTTGCTGCTATAGTAAAACACTGTTCCTGGCTTGGCATCTCTGCTTATCAAATCTCCCAAATCAGATGTCCCAGACTGCATTCAGCTGAGGTGGATGTGTTATACATGTAGAAGGAAGGTCCTGAGGCCAAAGACCACAGGACCAGGTCCACAGAACTATTTAAGCATCTCATGCCTTTGAGATTTGAACTTTACTATGTAAATAGGCTTGTAAGTAAAAGGATGAAATAATACGGACTTTTAACGTATGTGTTTCCAGCTTCCCCAACAGGAGTGGTTTCCCCTCATAAGAAATCCCCCACCAGCACCATGGTGGTGTCTTCCTCACCAGCCAAAGTCCCTGATACTGAACCTATTGATGTAGCTGCACACTTACAGTTGCTGGGTGAATCTCTCAGCCTCATTGGACACAGACTGCAGGAAACAGAGGTGAGTCTGTATGTCACAGTGATGTCATGTAATCTACACACAAGATTGGGGAGGGTTATTATTTTATTTTATTTATATGGTTAGCCAATGCTTTCCTGTTAGGAAAAGAAATTAGAGATGGTGTGTCATGTTTCTCTAATGCATTGCTATTTGTTTTCAGTGAAATAAAAAGCCTTGTTTCTCAGTGAACAGTAGGCATCAAGGACAGGTCCTTTGCAGCTCTAGGTCCTAGAAGGCAATTCTTAGTTTAACAAACTCTTCAGTGTTCTATTCCTATATGTTCACCTTGGATCTGATACATCTTTGCTATCTTTGCCAATATCTGGTTCAGTTGCTGTTACTATCTGAAACCTTCTTAGAAAACCATCAGAGAAGGCTTTACCAGGGTGGCTTTTGCATGTCCTGTCGTTTTGTGGCAGTATCATGTTGTCAGTACTTTGGACAGGGGCTACTATTGTTTCAGCTTGCCAGGTAATGTAGAAGAGGTCATATTTTAGAATCATAGGATCACTTAGGTCATCAAGTCCAACTGTTAACTAACACTGCCAAGTCCACCACTAAACCATGTCTCTAAGCATCACATTGACTATTTAAACCATTTTAATAATTTCCTACTGTTAGATAATAGTGATTCTGTGCATGTACATACAAACCCACACACTTTCAGAACTCAGCCTAGCCTGTAAGGAGAATACATATTTGGATCCAATAATATCATCAAATGTTATGGCTAATATCATCTCATTCTGAGGTAACCAAGTTAGATTATTCTTCAGAAGAACAGCCAGAGTAGATTCTCCCCCTTAACAGAAAGACATGTAAATTCCCTCTCCTGAAAGTCTTATCAATGACTAAAGCATTTGTTAGACTTAGCAATTCTTTAGACTTCAATAATAAAACACCTGTTGTCTTTAGGACTCATTACATTAAAACAAAATAGATGGTACAAAATGGCAAATAAATACATTAGAAAAAAATGTGGAATTGAGTGTTTTGTGCAAGTGACAGCTTTCTGACCTTTGTCGTTGCCTATGGAGTTACTAAACTTTTCAGCCAGCAGTCTCTCTGTGAAGCACCTGGCATCGTTTTTGTTACTGTGTAAATAATGAAAATGGGCTAGATGAGCTCAGGAGTGAAGATACTGTATCTGCATGAGAATCAATACAGTGGTGAAAGAACCCTAACTTCCACTAATCGCTCCTATCCATTCTTTTCTTTCCTTAATCCCAGGGAATGGTGGCTGTTTCAGGAAGTTTGTCAGTGCTTCTGGATTCAATAATCTGTGCTTTGGGCCCATTAGCCTGTCTGACCACTCAATTACCTGAGTTGAATGGCTGCCCTAAGCATGTTTTGGTGAGTTCCTTAGTTCTTTCCATTCTAGCACTGTTAATTTCAGTAGAATCCATCTATTTTTTGATGAATCAGTTTTATAATGTGATTATAATTCCAATGCAATAAGAAAATTTTCTTGTGCATACCCTTTTGTAGAGGAATCTTTCTTGAAATGAAGTTGTTACTATTGTATAGTTCTGTGCAACTTTTTTCTCCCACTGCCATCTGACCTAATAGTTGTAGCATTGATAGCAGTGTGTGTGTAATCTTGTTTTAGTGACTGAATCAGTCCATTTGAATCGAATAAAAGTGTCCAGAAACAGTACTTTTTCAAGTTCTAATTGTCTGTAAAACTAAAAGCACATTCTAGCTGCTCTGTGTCACACAATCTGTTCTTCCTTTAGTAGCATAAAAAACAACTTGTGGTCTCAAGATTCCTAATGTGATCCTGATCCCTCAGGATTCTTGGAGCCTTTTACATGAGGCTCTAACCTAATTTTTTAATTTTTTTAATGAAAAATCTGGCAGAGAGAACAACAAAATTTGGATATGAATTGTCATGTTATAATCTGGCAGCCCAAACATTGATTCATTCTGAGAAAGAAGTATTAACAACAGCAGCAAAGTTGACAGCTTAGGGTGTGAGCTCCCACAAACTGGCTCTCTGCACAAAAGCTGAGCCTGTGGGATGTTCCCACGTGACTAGTGGTATATTGGAAACTTGATCAACTTATTGTTTACAGGGAGCAGTGGGGCTTGGGGTAGATTAAAGAACTTACCCGTCACTTCTGAAAGATGGTATTCAGATTTGATAATGAATAAATAATTATGATTTTTACCATCAGACACATAACAAGAGGGGTGTTTTCAGTCATGGGTAAAATTGTCAGTGGCCGTTGCATGCAGAGTGCAATCTATCATTTCAGTCAGTAGGTGGCATTGTTAAATTCTTGATTCACAACTGGCGCAGATCCAGCTCTTCTCTCTTGGACAATTAAAAGGTGGTATTCGCAAGGCCTTCTTCAGCTATCCAGCCACAAGCTTGGTTTACTGACATACTGCATTTGAAGAACATACAGATAATGTACTGCTGGGTCTTGTTTCCTGTGCACAAGCAGGATTCTTACTCTCAGAATTCTGATGAAATTTGCAAGGAAAACAGTAGGACACTTACTTTTTCCCATCTGAAACCTTATTAGTGGGCATGCTTGAGGGTCTTTCTTTTTACACTACAGAATCTCATTAAGGACTTTTGAGTGCAAAGTCAAGTTTGGTTTTTTTGAGGGTTTTTTAATATGCTGCAACTTTGATCACTTTGCTGAAGTCCTTCATCACTAGTCTTTTCCACAGCTGATAGGATATGTTTGATGTGATTTCTTTCGAATTCAGAGATAGAGTATTGATTCATAAGGAGGAGGTCACTTGAGGAACATATTCATTGTTTTCAGGAGCTTACAAATATTGAGGCTACCTTTATGTTTAGTGAACTTACATTTCCAAAAATATGAAAATAAGCCTAGCAGCAGGGGTGTCTTGTATGGTAACGTGTAAGACAAGTGAACAAGCTTAGTTGTGATAGTTTTTAAGGATTTTGAGTCATTACTTGACACTAAAAGATACTGAATTTATTTTCCCAGTCAAACACACTAGACAACATCGCCTACATCATGCCTGGACTTTGATGGGAAAGGATCCTGGGATGTACTCAACCTCTGCGTAACTGACTTGTGTACTACACCGGCACTCCCGAAGGGCTCCGCGTGTAGGGTTTTAAACTTTTATATCTGTATACACATAGGATTGTAACTATTTGACTTCTCTTTTGTGACAAGTTGTGAAATTAAGCTGAGAAAACCCTTTTGTGTTGATGGGTGATATGTCCTCCAATCTGAAAGTATGAAGAATTCAGAAAGCTGTTGAGATACTCGCCTTAAATTCACATCCTTTAGTGGGGGAAGCAGCCAAGAGAATGGACAGAAAAAATGCCACCATGTGAGGGGTCATTGAAACAGGTGATCCAGAGAGGTTGTTGACTCTGCATCCTTGATATTAAAAAACTTAATGAGCAGCCTGCTCTAATTGGACTTCTTTAAACACGGGAATGGACCAGATGACCTCCTGACAGCCCTTCCAACCTAAAGTATTCTGATATTCTCTGGACAGGTATAAATTATATTTTGGATTGAGGAATAGACCTGAACTCTCCACTAGCCCTATTTCTAACTGTCTTTCAGTTTAAGATCTACTGCTTGAGGGGAAAGCTGGATAGCTGGTCAAAAGATATAAAGGTCATTGTCTCTTGGTCACTTCTCCCAAACCCCTCATCTTCAGTAATAACTTTCAGTAATAACTGAAAGTTGTCAGCTGGCTGCTCTGGTAGCTGGAATTTGAAGTAAGGTGGAAGATGACAACTTAATTAATCTTTTCTTCTGGACTTGCACCCAAATCCTCATTAGCATGATATATCAACCACAGCGTTGGCTTGAGAGAATGAACCTCCTGCTGATTTTTCCAGGATGTGGTCAGTCTGCTTTGTTGGAGATGAATGTGGAAGCAGATGGGAAAGACCTGGACTGGTTCTGCCCATCTTGCATCTGTTTTGTGAGAAAAAAGCCTTGGTTTCCAAGATGGCTGATCCCCCACCCTTTCCACCAGCAGTATTGAAAGAGCCATGATGCTGCTGGGAGGGCAGTGTCTAATGACCAGTTTGAAGCAGTTGCAGCTCAGCAAGGCACATGTGGGTTGATTGGACTGACTCCCCTTCCTTCCAGCCGCAAACATGGTGGTTGGTTTTCTGCTCCTCTAGAAGAGGAGCTGCAGGAGAGTATGTGACTCTCATATAGGCTTTTGTGTATCTGTATGTACATGTATGTGGTGTTCATATCATGTGTATTTAACTCTTACTGATATCTGTAACAGATTTTAATTTATCCTGTATATTTCCCTCTGTGTGTATATATATATATACGTAATTTAAAAGCAAAAAATCCCTCCCTCCACCAACAGTGTGTGGAAAATCTGAATCAAGTTTGCCTCACCACACTTCCTGCAGGAATCAGCTCTGTAGTAAGCATTGGCATTATATGGGAAAACATCAGGAAGACTTTAAGCATTTGTAGAAACCAGGCTACCTTGTGAAGGTAGGTAGTAAGAACAGAAATATAATTTGACTCTAGCCTTTCCAGCGTTACAACAGAAAAGTTTTTAAATTACAGAAGAGCACTTCCTCACTTCCAGCTTGAAGTCTAGCTTCTGTTTTTCAGTGCAACTGAGTGAGCTGTCCCTCATCGCAGCTGAGCCCCAAATTAAATTTAAATAAATCCTTAGGTGTGCAGGAGGAGTTTTCTCCCCATTCCTCTTGACCATGTATTCCCCAGCAGTGCCTGTCCAAGGTAGTCTGTCTCTTGCAGAGCTTTTCTCAGTGCAGTGTCAGGTTTTCTCAGTGGAGGAGGCAGAAGGTTCTTAGACCGCCGTACAAGTTCTCAACCCAAGCCTCAGACCAGAGCATACATGTTTTAACAATGCATGACTAATCCCAGTGAGTCTGGAACTGCGAAGGGCCCAGGAGGGAGGCAGTCCCATCCAGCTTCGGATCCTGGCCCGTACTAAAGCATCTGCCACTGGGAGTGGCACAAAATCCCTGGCTCTTTCCAGCCCTTTACAGTTGAGAGCGTTGGGCTGAGGGGGTAGATTTGCTCTCTAAGGAACAGAAGGGGATCAGCTTTAGCTTTGTCATCTGTACGATGGAAAAACTCTTGAAGAGTTTGAAAAACACACACAACCCTGGTGTATTGTATTTTTATTTAAAATTTGTACACTTTGTATAATCTGTATCTTGTGGTATTTGGTACTAGAGGGAAAACTTTGGCAAGACTTAGCAGTTTTTATATTTTTGTTATTTCCTTGTTGTTTGATCCAGATTACATTGCAATTATACAAAGAAACTTTTTTGTACTGTACTTACAATAGAATTTTTTTAACATTTGGCACGTTGTCCTTCATTTCTGGCGTGCACAGTGTGTTCTGCAGCTCTTGCTACTCCTCGTGTTCAGCGTTTCGCAGCAAAACGTGTCCCAAGTCTAAGCTTGTTCAGCTCACTCAGTCTGCAGGTATGCTGTGCCATCTCCAGCAGCAGAGGTCACCCCAAACATCACCCAGAAACTGCTGACCACTATGGGGAGAGTTCTGCAGGGAGGCACCTTCTAGCACTGCAGGTACCACCAGGATTCCTCATCCCTGCTGCCTCCCCTCGGTTTGGGTGCTGGTGTTGTGGTGCAAACAGCACACGGGCCTCAAGGCCGGCACGTGACATGGGATGTCAGATGTTAGACTGTGATTCGTGAGTTTTCTACATGTCCCCATTTCATAGAATCATAAAAGGGTTAAGGTTGGAAGGAACCCTAATCAGGTTCCAATTTCCCTGGTACGAGCAGGGACACCTCTCACTAGGCCAGGCTGCACAAGCCTCATCCAACCTGGCCTTCAGCACCTCCAGGGAGGGGGCATCCACAGCTTCCCCGGGCAGCCCATCCCAGCACCTCACTACCCTCATGGTGGAAGAATTTCTTCCCGATGTCCAACCTCAATCTCTCAGATTAAACCCGTCACCCCTTGTCCTATCACTGCCCTCTCTGGTGAGCAGACCCTTGCCAGGGTCCGAGCGGTCGATGGCAGCCTCGGGGCGGGCCGGGCGACCACCCTACGG